TAAAGTGTTTCATAAAGCCAAGCAAGACACATTTCTACTTATAGGAGGCATTTTCTCGATACTGACGCTAAGCAGATCCATCCGAAGGTTTCTGATGCAAAGCGTTCGTATGCGTGACGGCAGCACCTCATTACGAAATTACGGATTATGTTCTGGTCCGTATTTGAGCTCAACGTTGGCTGTACTTAATCTCTCCTCCAGCGACTATGCACAATTGAAGAACGTAACGCACGTCTTTTTTTCTCGACGTAATATAACGTACGCCGATAGCAATCGTGTTAGCAGGTGAAATGGTATTTTTGGGTAATCGTTGCTATCAATGAAAGAAAAACCGAGTCGGTCATTAGTATCTCCACTGCATAGTAATAACTGATTTCGGCCTCTAAAAAGAAATCGCGCTTTTCCGCTTAAGATTCGTCCGTAACTAGCGAACGGCGTAACGCAGCGGTGGGCACCTACGACTAGGACTCATGAAAGTTGCTGCTAGTCTGCCAGACGCCCAGAAAACGGTGACAACACACGTATTTTTACCCAGAGCTGGTTCTCTTATTTACATTCGTTACGAAGGCACAAATATTGAATACCTTATAGTTTTATCATGTAAACATTCAGTTAAGCTACAAGAAGAATCGCTTGCGCCGTACGTAATCTTTGCAAGTTTGACTAATTCTACGATTCATCGATCCCGCAATTTGCTAGAGCCAGTGTTGTGTTTGGCAATATCGACTGTTCCTTGACTTGCTAGACTTCGCGTAAGTGTAATTAAGTAATGGCACAGCCTAAGGGTCCATGTGCGCCGAGGCTGTACATGCTAAGCTCGAAATATGTCACGTGCGTGCCATGGCAAGTCCCACGCATGATGTAGGTACAGTGGCTTCCAGACGCATCGTCCTGTCTCAGATGCAGGGCGTTGGAGGGGTGGGGGTAGGGGGCATAAATTGCTCGAACAGACGACAATCATTCATTGCTGTATTGTACAATAATTGAACCGATACAGATATTAATTTAGAATGGACAACGTTTTTAATTATTAAAACGATTATTTTCAAGGTATGCCAAAAGTACTAATGTGCCAAACGACGTAGTACGATATAGTGATATAATTATTAGTCACACATACGTAGAAATGTCGCCCAAACGTTTATCAAGCAGTCACTTATGGTATGACTTAATACAGTATAAAACACACATTTTAAGAAAAAAAATATTTCGAACGATATTTTCATGATTTGCTTGATTAGTCAGAGGCCTACGGCAACGAAGCGCTACACAAACGAATCCAAGAACATATCGGCCACTTTGAGCTTGCTCATGTCGCTGAAACATTAGAAAGAATCTACCCAAGAAACGTTTTCACTAGCACGAGCACTAAATGGGTAAAAGCTTCTCAACTTCGCGCATTTATATGCGAAAACGTGCTCCAATGCTTTCGTCCAAGGTCACGTGACCTACATGCAGGATTTCTGAGACTTATTTTTGTGTAGAAATGCAGACTTCAGCAGCTTTTGATGATCCGCTTCGTTTCCAAGGGGTACAATTCGAGCCAGCTGTCCACCACAGCTGATTATACTGACAAATTTTCGCACCGAACTTAGACGCCGCTCCGTGCTAAAAATTCAAGAATTCCGATAGCCACTAGTTTCTTTCGATAGCTTTGCAAACAGCTGAAACGGGTCTTGTTTAGCCCAGCAATATTTTCGTGGTCTTAAATTTTAAATAACTAACGCCAATGCTAAAAATGTTTATTTTACTATTCTTGAAATGATTGGCCCTTAGTACACGATTGAGATACTTTCTGAAAGTTTCGCCCGTTTCGCGAGCCACGCCGTTCCACTTTAGAAAAGAATATGCCGCCGTACGACTTCTAGTATATCACAGTATTACACAGATGCCTCTTGCTTGTTTAATGACTCTAACGCACTATCTCTTCCTCTAGCTAAGCTAATCTTCACTGACTAAGCAAATCAATTTTCTTCATAAATATATATATGAAGCAAAGTTAGACGGAATAATAAGCGGCACTTTGTCACTCCAGTCGTTTGCCTACTTAGCACCCCTATGCTATTTCTTAGCTAAGCTTGGCCCAGTTTCGATGGGGGGTTAATTGAGGCATACACACCTATCTTCGCCGCCTGCGTTATAGCTGGCAGCCATCGAACAGAGCCGACGGGTCACAATGTAGCCGACAGTGGCTAGAATCACTGCAAAAGCAGTATATAATCTTTGCTGTAAGTGAAACTGTTTGAATGAAGAAGATTACCTCCTGAAGGTCTTTTTGTACCTGTCGTGGATCTGATGGACAGACCCATTCATGAATCACACATTTATATAGGGCTGCGTTTGTTCCTGGGCGAACAAAACCACTGACGCTAGCGGCGGCAATATCAACAGCGTGGCGATGGTGGTGGTGGTGGTGGTGATGATATAATAATTATGCTTATGTATGAGTCGATTTCTGATCACAATGAGCGACGTGTTCTATTCGCGTTAGGTCTTCCATTCGATGTAGCTGGAGCCGGAGTACTCGCCAATACATTAGACCCTGCAGCACCTAGAAACAATGGTCGACAGTCGACGCACCCGTACAACTCTGCCTTTGGTGGTCTAGGCTCACGCGCAGAGAACGACTTACCAGCTAATGTCTATCGGATTTCTCAGTTCGTATCTCAGTTCGGATCTACTCAGTGGAATCCGGCTACTAGCCAGCAGACTGCCAGTGAGATAGCAAAACAACACGCGACGGACAAAATCTCTGGATCTTCCGCTAACGAGCAACTAGTCGCAACGTGATGCGTCGGTGTGTTGTGGTCCCAAAACCGCTTTTTAGATTTTGAGACGACTGTGAAATAAGTAAACGCTTTGAGTTTTACAAGACACCTGTTTATTTCGTGTATGGTGCGATGGATAGAATGCCGAACGCTGGCGGTCACGTCCATGTCGTCATTAATATAGGATAGTCTCCGTAATGGTCCAGCAGCAGCGTCTATCCGCCTATGAACCTTAAAAACATACGCATGCCGTATGCAAAGCGCCAGAAGTAGGGGCGATGCTCGTGTTTGAGCGTCCAGCTTGTCTGCTACAGTGCCCAACTGTGCTTCCGGACGTTTAACTCGAAGTACTAGTACAGGTTTGAACGTTTTCGTTCTGGATAAGAGCTAACCGTCTGACGGAAGGCCGAATGATGATACCAAATGTAAACCTCAAGCCATCCAGATGGACTCAGGATAGGTTCACGTTAGAAGACTTTTCTCGTTCTACTGGCACCGCTCAGCATTGACGGCTATTGCGCTGCAGATGCTAGTCGCATAACAACTTCAAAACATCGACACGAATAACTTTTTTTTTTTGCTAGAACTTAACGTACGACAGCAGTAACTTGCTTCGACTTTCGCTGATTCAGCTGTACGTTAGTTACATCAGAATACAAAACACATTCTGATATTTGCATTGTCCTCCATTAATGAGATACTATTCTGCCGAAAAGAGCGACGCATCGTCTCTGTACTATTTGTGCGTACGTCTCGAGGTCTTCTTCGATCTACAATATCCGATACTAATACTTTATATATCATGGACACTAAATAGCAATATTTAATTGAGCATTTTGACATAAATCCATATTTGGAAAGTATTCACGTAGAATTTCCTGTTACTATTCGTAAGATTTATAATCGTACAAATAAACTAACATAAACATATAAACGGATGTAAAAGCGTACTGTCCAACATATGACAGGGTTATTTGCCAACGTGAAGATACTATACATTATCTTCATTATATACTGTTTAATATTTTCACAAGCACATACGCACAAAGCTTGAATCAATGAATTCAATGATGAATTGATATCACCCAGTATTTTATTCTAACAGACTTATAGATCGAACATCCGATATGTCTGAAGGTAATAAAACATCAAAATCTACATTTTTTTCTTATTAGTTGCTTGGTAAGGCTGTACTTAATTTCAGCGAAAATTTTCATGGGTTATAAGTGACCTACAGTGACAAGCAAGCCTTTTCACTATGACGATAACTTACTAAGGTTACATTTTCAATTCAGAACATAAACCACACACTGGTTGTCTTCAACTAGCAAATAAGTTGTTATTAAACGTGTGTCATATAGGTAGATACCAACTTAGGCGCCGGTGCATACAAAAACAATTTTTACAGAGTCAGATTTTTAACTGGCATAAGACCGAAGATCCGAAAAATAGTAGGGTTTAAAAAAACTGCTCAAAAAAGGTACAAATAACGCAGAACAGCGCAAAAAATTGCAAACAGATTAATTCGTTATTGAATCGTCATCAGGATCAGGCAGACCCAGTCGGCAGGTGCTATGCTGTATGCAGAAGAGCTGTTCATTTCCACATAGCACATCTAGGTGCGCTAAAATTTTTTGTTTTTGGGGGGTTACTTTGATGAACCTTCAAGCCCTTCGAATGTCCATTTTACTAAGGATCTTCCGGCTTGTCTCTTGGTGATCTTCCTCAGATTTTTTAGAAGCCATATGAGTACTGGTTATGACGTGGAGCGTCGATTTTGAGTGAAAAGGGGAAATTTAAAATTTCAGTGGGAATTCGTTCGGCGTTAACACGTTGCTCAATAGCTGAGCTTCGCCTAAATTCTGAAAACGCTACATTGTTTTTTTCTGCTATGATGAGCCTGTTGTAGGGATAACTTTTTCCTGGTGTTAGGAATAGCGAACAAACGCATGCTACAACAGAATGGCCGTCGAAGCTTCTCCGGCTTTGACCGGCCCTCGCTGTATACTTTTCTACACGTGGTATAGTTTTCCCGAACTGTTCCTATTCACTATGATATTCTGGCAAAAGCGCGCACTATAATTACAAACAAACAAACAAACATAAACACATAAAGCACAATGCTACAATATAACATAATGACATGTATTTAAAGCGATTGATTAGACGGTCTGTTGGTCAATACTGTCATCGGTTGTCTTCGATGCGTGGTCGTGACAGGTTCACACTCACATTTTCGGTTGATTGCGGCCGCTGCCGTTGCCATCGCCAGCAGCGTCACTTCTGGAAATGGTATTCTCAGCATTTTGGTTCAAACTCGCGCGGGAAGAAGCTGCCTGGTCGTTGGCTGACATTTTCGACGCAGTAGATAGAATGGTATCCCCTTTACCGTATCCGTAGGTCGCTAGCGTCAGAATTTTTCAGTGAGGTGCTTGCAAGCGGACACCCGCGACAGCAGTATAAATAATTAAACCAAAGTTCTTGATAACACAGGTAAAGATGGTCACCTCTCTGCGATATTTTTCCGGTATGTATTTTTTGTTCAGTTTTTAGTCACCCCGATCTGGCGAGCGATTCTCCAACGACCTTTTAAACGTATCTATAGGTAATCACCAAGTATGAGACAGGTAGTACGGATCGATTGGAGCTCATCGTGGTGATTGTTACGTGCAGTATGGGCGTTCGAGATGGTGACACTGGCCTGTTTCAGAAATGGCCTATTGCACCGAAAATGACAGCAGTAGAAGAGGACACGCGGCCGACGCATCAATACTACGCTATCTTAACTAACTTGCTATCACTTTCTGTTGCGACAGAACTATGTTTATTGTTAGATATCATCACAGATCGTTCAACGTTCAATGACATATTTGGTGCTCTATAGCTGTCATGCTCCTATAGTTGTTACAGCTGATACGTGCAGTTGTTGTTGTTGTTGTTGTTGTTTCTGTCCGTTTTTCGTCTCTTACGGGAGACTGTTTATCTTTCTGAGAGGGTGATACGCGCATGAGGCGACAATTACAGACGGTAGGAGCACAGTGCACAATATCCTCACCTCACATGGTGGTCACTCAGCAGTCTCTAGATATAATCGTAGAGGCTCCAACAGCAGTAGCAGATGGTCAAATCGCTTACATAACAAAAACACCCATACGACTGGTTAGTGTTGGATACTAAGCTTGTAGAAATAATGATTGTATTATGGTGGTACTACTAAGTGCCGCTGCTGGCGTTGGGGGGTTACAGCCGTTGGCGGTGTTGGTCGTCGCCACCGTCGGCGCGTCGTCGTAGTCGCCGCCGCCACAGCTGCCGCAGTTATTGCACTAAATTCAACCGTGGCGACGGCTGCGGCTGTAGCTGTTGTGGCTGACGTTGTGTTTTCGCGCAGCTGGTGCTTGACGATTGGTTGGCTGGCTAACTGGCCATATTTTTTAGTCAGTTCATGTGGCACTACCCGCGCCGGTGAAGTGGTGCTAGCAGTAAACGCGCATTTGGCATCGCACCATGAGCGTGCAGAAATCGCTGAGGTTTCGTAATATTTTGCCTCCATTGCTGAAGCGGCGGCAACAGCAGCGAATGCACGAACGACTACGAGACGACGATGACGGCAAACGAAGACGTACATACACACAAACAGACAGAGGAACAGACAATCAGATGGACATCACACACACTTGCGTGCACACATACTCCAGTCAGAGGCAACGTTGTTACTCTTTGTGATCCATAGAGCGCTAAAACCATAGGACGGCCATGCTACAAAGTGGGGCGAGGAGACGATTCCGACGGAAACGAAGTTTGCCGCCGTGGCCATCAGTAAAAGCACCAGCAGCAGCAGTAGTATAGTAACAGTAGTGGTTCTTCTCGAGTCATAGTCGCCGATGCCATCGGCGTTATTACTGGTGACGCTCGTCAGCGCCTGACGCCCAATACACGGGACTTCGCGATCTGGCGAATATTGATGACACTGGCATAGCAAGCATTGTTACAGCAAAAACAGTGGCGAAGGGCAACAACAATGAGAAATGTTCGTGCGTGCAGAGACGGCAGGCAAGCAGACGTTCAAGGACGAAATTGTCGTCCTGCATTAGGCGCAGATATAATTATAACTGAAAGTCGAAAAGTTGCCTTCTTTTATGTTTGCGATGGCGTGTTATATAATACGGCAGCCACACACACACACACACAAACACATACATACAGGTATATATACACATGCCCACATACACGTACACGCACCCATTCAGGCACACACATACGGTACACGCCCACACACACATATACGTATACACTCACACATATATAGGCATGGACACACATACGCACATACATGCGTGCACGTACAGACACACACACACACACACACCCGCAATAGTCGCAATATATTAGCCGCTACATCACCTGTGTCGGCAACAATATGGCAAATTGAGGCAACGTAAATCTCATATACAGATCAGTAAACAGAACAGCGAGTCTTGAATAAATATATAATAGCACCCAGTTGTGATGGCGGCCCTCAAACAGCAGCAGCAAACCTGCACGAAAAGTTCTTTGGCGAACCAGTTCTGTTACCGACTGCGAGGCCCCTCTTGTCCACTGAGGAAAAAGACTCAACCTGAAGACGAGTGCTATTGAAGTCAAAAATACAGGTAGGTACAGACGTTCCAGGAAGGTAGGAGCATGCTGTCGAAGATTTGTTTATAATGGGAATAAATGGGAAAAGGCCGCTCGGTTAGACCCAGATGATAGCAGATTATTGCTGCCAGACTAGACAAATGATAGCTTCAAAATCTCAACATTGATTGTCTGTGCGGACTTACGATGGTAAACTGGAATGGTCGTCTTGCGCACGATGTATTTTATTAATATATGAGTAGTTACTAGGGGCTAGAAATCATTTTTTCTAGTTTTGTCGACACCTACGCAGCTCGTAGGCTCTGAAGCGACAGAATGGAAGGCAGGCAGGATGGTTTCTAAATACTTACTACTTCTATAGAAATAGAAAGTAATAGAAGCTACGATGCCCCGGATGCCCACTAGGTTAGAGAAGCCCACCAGGCAGAATTGCTAACTGCAAGCACGCAGCGGTATTTTTGTAGAGGAAGTCTTTTCCATTGAAAGAAAATACTCATAATACTGACTAAAAGGACGCACGTGCTTGATATAGCAAACGTACGATGTTACCGAACCATTTTTGGCAGAATAGATATTGTCAAGCTCGATTTGGCATAGAAAGAGAACGCTCGTACCATTGTTATAAAAATACACACAAAGACAAAAATAAATATTGTCCAAGTTTACTCACCGACTTGATTAAGATTAAAAGTAATGAAACATTCAGTGAACATTGGTCTGCCACGATCTAGTTTTTACGACTCAGTTAATTACATATTACGTATTGTTTTTTTTACTTTAGCTTCTTTGTTGTGCCATTACACCTCTTCGTTTCAAATGCGTTACAGTGGCTTCGTACAAACATTTGCTTACATTGTTATTTAGTCATTAACAGTTATTCCAAGTTTGCTTTGAATACGAAGCTGCGACCTCTGTGTATTGATATCTCTTAGACGATCCGGTCTCCGTCGCTCATTTGATGCAATTGTAAACACGTTTTTATCATTCCAGCCGCCAATTTATTTATTATTTAAGCCATAATCAACGTTCACGAATTAAGTGTACAATCATGTATTCACAATAGTGATATCGGCCACTTTCTACCAAGGTACTTGCACGTTTCGTCCAAATTCTTGTTGAGCGCCAGTAACGCCCGCAGAATATACCACTAGCATACTGTTCGACGAGATTTACTATAGTCTTAAATCGGTAATTTCCCACCTTTATGCCCTGAATGCCTTCCGAAATGGCAGCCAGCGTCCAATGAACACAAACCTAATGTTTTTTTTTTTGCTTAGCGTGAGTTTTTCGCGAGGCTTATAGGTGCAATGTAATTGTTTCATCTTCGTTCGTTATTTGCTAAAATAGGCCGCAACAATAATTGACCTCAAAGAATCATTCCTTCAGCTGAAGCTCGATCCGTTCACTTGCTACTTTGTCCAATAAGTAAACTTAGTATTTCGACTTCGAGGCTTTAACGTTGGTACCACGACACTTGGTTAGCGCTGTATTTATTTCACTGTTGCATTGCGCAGCACGGAAGGTGGGCAAGAGGTCCGCTGGTGCAAATTTGGTCTGCCGGTGCCGCCTTGGTGAGCAGACGGGTGTCAAGGCTGAGAAAAACGTACTGACTTTTACAAATTGGAAGCTCTTTGGCAGTTTGGCCAAACTGGCTAGTTGTCCCCGTTGCAGTTTACCGTGCAACGGCCTGTAATAACTAGCGGCGGATGTAGCGGATTAAGCGACTGGTACTCTATAACATCGTGTGACCGGCCTGTGCGTCTTGTAGCTAATTGAAATGAAAGCAAATCCACTGTCGTAGACGACCGTCGTGCGGTCGACCTTATTGATCCAACCACACGTTCCGGTTTATCTCTCCGATTGTTTGAATATGTTCTAATATTGACTATTTCAATTGGTACTTCAGTAATGACACCTTTGCCATTCACCTGTTGGCAATAGTGCAGGTGGCGCTAATGGTCATGATGCCATCATTCGAATTTATGCGTGTTCATGAGCGTTTACGTGCTACAGTCAGTAGCTCGGCTGCGTTATAGTTCCATCGGAGTGTCTGTGGCGTAATGGCCATACCAGTCGACTGACCGAATAGAGAAAAGGTAAAGAGCGAACGAAGTGTGCGTGGGCGAGTAGGTGGGCATACGACTGAGTGGAAGTATGGCTGGTCGCAGAAGACGAACTATAGTGACGCGTCGCTGCACACGTTTTGCTTGTCCTAATCATCAAACGCTAAAGTGAAATAAAGCTAACGAAATATAGTAACAATGGCTTGTTTGTTTGAAATTATTATACAATATATTAGAAAGCCTGCCCAAATCGAAGTTATATCGTTCATAAAATGATACTGGAGCTCGTTCGATGGACTTCGCAGGTATCATAGCGATAGCAGACGATCTCGGTCCGAATTGGAATCGAGACCACATTATGACGGTGACATGAAATTAGTTGGCCATTTATTGAAATAAATATATCTTCACTCGGATGATTCAAGCAGGTGCAGATGGAGTTACGCAACAACGTATAATTAAACGTATTTGATCCACAAGATGACGTGTGTTTATCCCCATAAACAATCAGCTATCGCGAAGCAAAATATGAAGAGATTTAAATGTAGTTTGAAGGTTTTTCTTGAAGATTAATAGCAACCAGGTTGACCAAGGAACTACTCGACAATTAGTCAATCTAATAAACCAGCATAGAAATTAAATCAGCAATTGTTATTTGATAGAGGTGTCGCTAGCCTAAGTGATCCGGCAGACGTACTCGCTAGCTGTGATGAGTTACAAAAATTGTTAGTAACAACGGATGTCTCACATTAAATTGCCTTTTTAGTTCGGCGGTATTGTGATATATGGATACCAGGTGAGCAAATGACTAGCGGTAATGTTTATCGTTAAGTGTACCCTTTGTTTGGGTCCGTAAATGAGATGTTCCACGTAGAAAAGATGTCGGCTGTGGAAGGCTGCTGTGGGAATATTTGCATCTCTCAAGACGGTAAACATAAATCTTACAAATCTGGTTTTGTCTATTGTTGGCTTTAAACTTGTTACTGGTGTTGCCATAATAGCAAGATGGTCATATACCGAAAAACTACAGCTATTTTTGTAAGATTTGTTGTATTTTGCTACTAGACAAAGAAATTACCTTATAAACAATGCTCGTTCATACGCTGTAATTGTGTTTTACGTTTTGGAAACATTCTAAAAACGTGTCACATGCCCATTATCAGTCCAAGGTATTTACATGGTCAGACCTGGCTCTGTCAAGCTATGATTAATATAATTACTGGTAGGACAGTGAATTATAGTGTGGAGCGTAATTTTCTTAGAAAAATAAAGGCATCAGAAACCAGTTGAGGTGTAACACTTGCAATATAACCGTGTGTCTTTGTTATTAACGGGGGTTGTTGTCACAGGGAGAATGTGTTAGAAAAAGTAAGCATTTTGTGGGGCCAGATATACCACCGACTAGATATATAAAGGTATAGTGAGTTCGAGTGAACCAAATCTGCGTCATACAACGGCATATCAGTGAAGACCACTACATATAGTCTTCAGCGCTTCATAAATAAAATGGCTACTGTTTAAAGGTAATCAGGACAAGCAAAGATTTAGTTTTCAATTATTTTCTAGGCTCCAGCGAGCAGCTGGCATTATTTTGTGAATTATTAACACAAACCTATCAAGATATAGCTTCTAAACCGTGACTGATCCGGAAAGAATAGGCATAGTAACTTTTCAGATACAAAAGATCTTTCTGTTCATTACGACTCTTATCCGTCCCTTGTTCGCACAATTTTTATTGGCTGGATGTATATATAAGGTGTTAATAAATAACCTATAAAAAAAAAAAAAAGCATCAAGGATCTGGTATTTCCTCTTTTTGGTTAGAATTCATGAAGAATGACTACCTTATGCATTACGTTTTGTATGGCTATAAGGCGTACTAATATAATGTGACGTGTAAGAATACACAGACCGTCCTCCAAGACGAAAAGAAGTCGGTGGATAATTGCACAGATCATAGAAAGTAATATCCAATTTACAAACCAAGATAATCATCCAGCGCCACCAGGTGGCATTTAGTGTAATTATGTTTTCAAATCCAAGTGTGTCTCAATCCCTAACAAGCTTTGCTCGAGGCGAACGTCCTTCTTTCTTTCCGAAAAGTTAGTCAGCTAGCCAAACTATTTCACATGTCAGCAGTAGCTTTCGGATCGTTCAGACGCAAGGAAGCTTGGTTCTTTCCAAACTTTTGCTTTCTTTTTAACGCTACGTGCTCTCACGGTGAAGTATCAATGGCTACCATTGTCTATCATTTACCGGTACCAACGACCATACCTTGTTAGATTCGTACTACTACTACTATTATCGTAGATATAGTTGAGCACCTCAGCGCACGGCTAGTCGAAGCACCTTAACATCAGCTCTCACTGAAAAACAAATGAACGAATGACATCGTTCGTCGCTGTCATCGTCGTTGCGGTTTGTATCTAATGCTGGTCGATGCTTCAGAAGCTTGCCAGTGAACTACTCTAATGTCCGGATAGGAGAATGCAG